AAGGTCCTGGTCCCATAGCTTGTTGAAGGGGACCTTGTTTGTGAATCTGGGCATGCAACTCTGAAGCCTAAAATAATGTACAAGAACATAAATAACAAACAGAAATGACATTCATACACGATAAAATAATTAATAAGGGTAATTGGTTCTCATAAAATGATAAACAAGAGTAATTCCAAGGGCAGTATGAATCACCTAGAAGGACATTTACAAACATATAAGCTATATCAATAAACATCCAGCACGCCATTCATTCCACAAAAAAAAAGATGCAATGAAATCTAAGGTCAAACTTCTTTCGATTCTTCTCCACCTAAGAAATATGAACCTATGAACTATCCAAAGAATCTTACAGAATGTTTAATAGAGAAGAAAAGACCAAACATTCTGATACCCAAACTCGTTGTTTAAAAAGTATACAGATCATAGTTCTTTCTTCTTATTATTTTGAGAAAGGTAGCATTGTAAAGATCATAATTATCAATAGACAATTTGAAGAACTAAACATGCACAAGGTGTTGGTAAATATATGCAAGTGAAATTCAAAGTATCTACTGAATGTGAAGCCACTGCATAGTTGCTAAATCATACTTAAGGTGAACATTTTTCTTTATAAGATACTTAGGGCAGGCAATTTAGCATGCCTAATCAGTAATGATGAAACTGCACAACGTACCAGAGTTCAATGAATTGATCAAATAATGTGTTAGTGGATGGGATGAAATGGGCTAATCCCAAACTAGGCCAAGGACTTTTTGAATAATGTTACATTGAAAGACTGACTTCGTAGATTTCCATTCTACATGCATCAATTAGTTTGATGTTTTCTTCTACTTCTACAAAAATATTATTTGAGCCTACGGCCTAGCTAACATCTAAAATTAGGATATGCTTCATCAAGAATACAAAATGTTACTCTGAGAAGAATGAATTATGTGCTGTTAGCTGATTGGAAGAGAAAAGGCTGTCTCAAACCACTATATTTGAGCAATCATGCGGGGAATCACATACACATAGAACTTCCTTTGATAGATGAAATTATTTATTGTCAAGGAAATGAATAGGAAAATTGAAGGCACACTGTGCCAAACAATCAATAAAAGAGGAAAGCTCCTCGAAGTACACATGGAAACTACTTGCGTAGGCACTTCTTCCAGGGAACATTTAATCGTGTGACAAGAATTCAGCACATTAAACATACTAAAGGCTAACTAAAAAACAGCACTAACTTTACCTTAGTAGAAACTTCAAATGATTTCTGATAAAGCTCGTTGTCTGGATCCTACAGTTAACAGGAACAAAGCTATGAAAATAAGCCTCTAAAAATGCACTAAAAATATCAAAATTTGCATAGAGAAAAAATATACCGCATCAACAGCCTGCTGGAAGCACTGGGCTGCTTTGTCAAAGTAAACCTTAGCTTCATCTTCGTCAGGATTTAGAAATCCATGGGATGTATATGCATTCCCCAAACACCAAATGGCGTCATGCTTCTGTGGATTAACCTCCAAAGCCTCCTCTAACTTTGAGATAGCATCTAGAAAGTATATTGCCCAATTAGAAAGCAAGAACAGATAATACTATTACTATCTTCAGTTCCATCAACTTATTACAAGAAAAAGGCCCAAGATTTCAACCCACCCTTCAAACATTTCCTTCTGCAAAATGAGTATGCCTTAATAGGTCTTTAAGCTCTTAGTACGGAACTTTAACATCTATATACATGCCAGTTCAAAAATAATATATGGTCTTAGAGCGAAATAACAAAATTGTTTGATTACTTAACCATGACAGACAACATTCCTACTATGCTATGAAACATGTCTTTGGTTAGTTACATAAATGTCCCACTGCTATATAAGGGCATCGAAAGTGTTTAATGTGTCTCATCCCTCTACTCCTTTTCTTAGGCTTTACGTTAAATTTTTACATATGGGCTCAATGCCAAGTAATTTCTCACACTCACAAATATATATGGAAATTCATAGGAGAACCCAAATTTGGTTACTTGTTGGGAGAGTGTTGAAATTAATAGGTCATATCCGATTTAAAAGGGCATTCAAGATGTTCAAGAGGTTACACTTGTGGTGTCTGTCACCTATCAGTTGACAGTTGATGCAGTTAGAATGAAGATCATGGGAGACCAGATTGGCAAAGGCAAAAAAAGTTAAGTGATCCCTTCCCACCTTCCCATCTAACTACACCTACCTTGGAGGGTAGAGTTGCCCAATAGTTACACTAGTGGAAAGAAAGGTGGTTCTAAAAACTCATTAGGTCACTTCACATTCATTGCCCTAATTTGGACTGATTCCTTGACCAGTATTAATTAAATTAACAATCCAATAACTCTGATAGCATGAGCGGACATTGTCCAATAGCCAATTCTAGGAAAACTTTTTAGCAGGAATTACAATAGTAATACTAGTACTGAAAATAGTACTAGAAAAAAAATACTAGAAAGAAATACCAGATATCATCTTCTTTGATTCGCTGACAGACTGGAATTGTGATAATTCCAGCAATGCACCTCCCCATCTTGTCAAATTCTGCACGAATTAGTCAGAAACAAAGTCACGGTCAATTAGTCAATACGCATATAACATCAATTAAATAACAAGTTAGAGCATGAGAATATGCATATGTTGTCTGCGAGTGATAGGGGCACAAGGAAGAAAAGGTACGTGCCTCAGCATCAAGAGGATCTGTAGCATATGTGGTTTCGGCAGTCTTGCGAGCGTGCTCGAAGAAGAGGAGTCGGTCGAAATCACTTTGCATATCCATGACGAACGATACTGAAACTGACTATCCTTTCCGCTTCGTGCGATAACTTACTGTGTTAGGGTTCTAAACTTCAACTTGAAACGGTTGAGACCTCGTCCGCTTATCTTGTAAAACACCAGCGGACTTGCCGATGAGTGAGGATACCCCTCCGGATTGGGCCTATTAGAAACCATGCGAAGATGGGCCTCTTCCTGATTAAATAGGCTGGACAAAATTCACAAATGGCCACAATTACAAGAATGGCCTCGGAGGCCTTGAACTTTTGACCTCACTTATATCATGACCAAAATTTCAAGCAAATTTAAACGTTTTAACCTTGAAGATCTTTTCTATAGAGCAAAACGATTCAAAATTTTAAGTTGTATCATGTTGTATGAGTTAAAATAAGGATCTAACAAATGGTCGCATTAGGAGACGATACATATCAAGATACAAAATCATGTTACAATTTAATATGTGATTTTGATTGGACAAGTTAACATTTATTCATATTGAATGCAGCACAATAATGAAAAGTTATCTTACTAATAATATGAAAATAAATTACTCGTGGTCGGTCAAGATAAGTCTCACCCCTAATTCCAAATAAGTTGGGACTTGCTCTAATAATTACATCCACCTACATAATAACTTCAATGTGCTAATCATAATCAAGCAAGGCGTTGCTAAATTATAGGCTACAAATTTAAGCTCTACTTCTTTTGCTTATTACTTTACAATACTATTTATAAGCTACTATTCTTCAACTATTCTTGATAGTGAGTAATTTTGCTTATTACTTTACAATACTATTTATAAGCTACTGTTCTTCAACTATTCTTGATAGTGAGTAATTAAACATTATGAATCTAATATTTCATCATTATCGACGTTCTACTGAATTTCAAATACATATTTAACTAATATCTTAAAAACAATTTAGAGATAAATAAGTGTATCAAAGATGCCATCCACAACCTATTTACAATTTTATGCCAATCGAAATGATGCTACAATAGATCGATATGATATAATACCAATGAGACAAGTCGAATTATTCAAAAGGATTTAAATATTAATTCACAATTAATATTTATACCAATAATCATAATAAAATCCAAGATATCAATGTGATTGTAGTGTAATTCAAAATGCAAACAGTTTCTAATTCATGAAACATATCACATCTATAAACTGTGTGTTAACTTGAATTTATTAGAATTAGGTTTCAAATTCGATAAATAATGGACGTGATCCAAATATTACAAAACTCAATATAGAAAGATGTCCAACTAAAGTTATCAGAATCATTATTTATATATTTTCTATTTAAGCCATTATCTTTTCAAAAACTAAATTAAAATTAGAACGAAGAAGTCACGACAAAAAGAAATTCACTCATTCTTGTTACAAATTCAAAAGCAAACATTGTAGTAATATCTTGATATTCATATAAAGTATAAATAAATTAAAATATGTCTACAAAAATTGTGATCAAGTTATTAGTATTCTTTTATTTTCAATTAACAATAATAAAAAAAGAATTATAAAAAAAATAACAATAATAATATCAAATTTAAATTCTAAAATATGAAGCAAATTTAATTAAGTTATGTTTTAATACGAATATTAAGGGCCCGTTAGGTCATACGATATGAAATCATAATTTGAAATCATGATATACGAAATCATGAGATGAAGTTAGAGTTCTGTTTGGACATGCAATTTGAACTTGTTATGTTGTATATATGTTTTTTCACAAACATAAAAACTTATGAAGTTGTAAAACTATTAAAATTGTCTCAATTCTTTATACAATCTTACCAAATAAGTTCAAGTTTATAAAATCGCATAACACACTATTACAAAGATAACATTAAAAAATACAATATTTATAGATCAAGCTTTAATTCAATACAAAAACATAAGTTGTAGTGTACTAGTATTTAATATAATACTCCCATATAGTACGTACAATCTTATCACATCGAACTTGCATTTCTCGTTCGTATGACTGAGAAGATGAACCAACATTATTACTTTGAGTCATTTGTTGGTAAATATATTTAATAAAAAATAATGATTTTGGAACAAAAATTAATTTGAAGTAATGATGAATTCTACATTAGTGAGAATAATTATTTTATGAGATGTAAATGGTTTAAAAAGTAATGATACGAATTATAAATTTTATTTACATATGAAAAAAGTAGTTAGTAAATATAGATGTGACGTTGTGAGTCAATTTTGTATTTGAAAAATCTCAAATCATGATTTTTGGAGAATTTGAGATTTCATAAGATGAAATCAACATGAAATCGTATGTTCAAACACTAATTTTATCTCATAATTTTATATCTTAATATGAAATCAAATGTCGAAATGATTACTAAATATTCAATAAGATACTTATAAAATACTTAATAAAATAAGAATAAATTTTAGGTTTAGCAAACATAAAAATCATATTAGTGCTCTATAGCTACATTTTACTATTTGCGCTCTATAAGAAAAACATAGTTTGTTATTGAGTATCGGATTTATATAAAATCGCAGACAACATTTGATTGTATAAAATCGCAGGAATCTAATTTGTATAATCACAACGATTTGTATAAATGGGTGTTTGTGTATATGAAAATTGTGTTTGTATATGTATATGTTATTTGTGTTTGTATATTTGCATAAAATTTGAATTCCTATACAATTGAATTGAGTTAAAACAAGTGTATTTGTATATCAAATCTCTCTTGCTTTATAAAAACACAAATTATACATTGTATTTTGTATAACTTGTGTTTATATAAAGCAAGAAAGAGAAAAAGACAAAAGAGAACTGGGCATGGAAAATTTTGTATTTATATAATTATAAGTGTATATGACGAAGAGATATGTATTTGTATGTATAGTTTTTTGTCGCTTTATACAAACACAAACACAAACACAATTTATACATTTGTGTTTGTATAAAGTGAGAGAAGTGATGGAGAGTGGCAATCGAGATTCAGGGAAGAGAGGCGAATGACAAAGTATTTACTAGGAATTATAATTAAATAAAACTGTGGTTATAACATTTATTTTGAACTAATAATTTGCTACTTAAACAATTTTCCGTGAAAATAATCACAAGATTCAAAATAAAAAGAACAAATTCATTTTCTAGTCCCACTCGAGTGGCCCATTACTCGACCGACAGCACTAACTTTCACCGCATGTCACGCGTGATTAAATTCACCGAGCCGACTGGTCATCAGGAATTTGAAACGGATATCCCGGTCACACCGAGCTCCATATTATTTTTCAAAAAAATATCATGGCATTTATGTGATTAACTGAAGAGGTGAGGGCATTTCAGCTGAAATTTGATTCATAAATATCCAAAAATCTGTACCACCTTCTTCTCCGTCGCATCTTCCGGGTCTTCGCAGCCGAAGTGATAAAGGGTATGTCTTGTGTATTTATTTTTACTTTATTCACTCTCACTCTTTCTACAGTTCTACATCTATAGATTTGGTAAATCCCAAAATATAGGGTTTCTGTGCTCTGCTTTTTCACTTTTTGTAGTAAGCTTTAATTTCGGCCTTATATATTACTGCATTTTGGCGTAATCTCGGATTCATCGGATCAAGATTGTTTGATATTGTAAATCTCTTTTGAAGTTATTTTGCATGATTATATCCATTTTGCTTCTTTGATCTATTTTCCTTTAGTGAATTTAGCAAGATGAGTTATTCATGTCCAGCTTTATTAGATTAAAATTGACGCTAATTGCTATTTATATAATTAAGGCTTAAACTATTGACTTTTGAGTGCACATATTATTAACACAGTATACTTGTACGTTTTTTCAAGTTTTTGTTTATGCCAATTGCCAACAAACCATATTCTCTAGGTATACTTTTTCTATGGAGTTAGGTGATTTATGATTTATGTTGCAATTACCTTGATGTTGATTGTTGAGAGTAGTAACTGATCTATATCGGAAAGAGGGGTTATTCAGATGGTAAGCACCCTCAACCTTCAACCTAAGTTTGTGGGTTCGAGTTACCAAGAGAGCAAAAAAGGTGGGAGCTCCTAGTAAGGGGTAAAAAGAAATAAGGATCTATATCAAGTATAAATAATGCTACTTGTTGAGTTAGAAAGTTCAATGTTTTGCCGTTTTTTTAATCATATGCCCCTATAGATTGAATTGCTATGGTTGACTCACTTTTCATGATTGACAAGTTCTTATGATTTATTTGTGCTTCTTTAAAATAATTGCATTCAGATACTGCAACATGGAGAATATGCAGAGCTATTGGCAATTTGGCGACGAGCTTCGAGGACAATCAAAAACCTCAGAGGATCATAAATGGTCAACAGCTGCTCTAAAATTGTCTGAACAGATGAAGTACAAGGGTGAACGTAGGAATAACCTCGACCTTTCAAAGAGCTCTGCTGAAATTAGACCCAGGGGTAATCATATGTTTCAGGAAGATAACAAGTGGGAAAGCCTCAACTTCAATATGTTAAATTTGGAAAGCAAGATGACGGAAAATATGAGCAAGAATCGCATTATGGATAGCATTTACAATGCAAATCCAGTTTATCTTAATCCCAATTTTAACAGCTTGGGAAATTCATCTTTAAGCAAGTTCAATGCTAGCAACTATACCAAGGAACCAAGCAATAATAACAATAACAACGTTGAGAGCACAAATGGAAATAACTCTGTTGACAAAAGGTTTAAGACTCTGCCTGCTGCTGAGACACTGCCGAAGAATGAGGTTCTTGGCGGATATATATTTGTTTGTAACAATGACACAATGCAGGAAGACCTAAAGCGCCTGCTCTTCGGTAATTAACTTTTCCCTATCATGTTAAGCATTGTCTATTCAAGTGTAATATTGCATTTGATATTCAATAGCCAGGGATTTTATGTTTTGTTACTAGTTGGATAAACTGAATGTTGAAGCTGCTTAGTTAACGACCAGTGGTTTTACACTATTTTATTATAGAAGCTCAAAGAGCAACTAGCCAACAATTAAAGAAAATGAATTCTGACTTTGTTACTAGCTCTGAGTACTCTTCTTCAGAATTGCTATCACCAATCCTCAACTCCAATCACACCATAGCCAAGTATCGACAAAAGTTAAGATCATTGATAAATAGATGATGACTAGGAAGTAATTCCTTCCAATTGTTATCCCCTTTGCTCAACTCCAATCATTTACTTGCAGGCCTTCCCCCTAGATACAGAGATTCTGTGAGGGCAATAACACCAGGGTTACCCTTGTTCCTATATAATTACACTACTCACCAGTTGCATGGTATCTTTGAGGTTAGTTGCAGAAACTTTTTTCTATATTGTGATTGTGTGAGTTCAAAATGATGATAAATCAACTGTTTTATATTTCTATAGCTCAAGTGTAAATCAACAACAAATATCATGTTGGATGTTGCATTCCGTACAGATTCACATCATTGTATATGATTGCTTTCAGTGTGAAGCATAAGTTTTATATTCGTACAAAAGACTGGCTGCTTCTTCTCCTTTCAGATTTTCTTAATTCTGTGGTTAGAAATTTTTCTTACCTTGTGTTAAGCCTGGTGCCTTGGTGTGCTATGTACTTTATCGGGAACCTTATGATTTTGCAGCATTTGGCCTGAGCATTAACTTGCTGAGCTCTTATTTCTTGCCAAAAAGAGCTATATGTTGTTAAATATGGCACCACAAGCTTCTTTTTTTAAATAGCTTCAGTCTCGTTACTTCTCCGACTCTGTTTTAATTTATGCAATGAACATAGATATTAAAGAAAAATTGGATTCAATCCAATTAAGTATCTGGCATGGACCATGACTTTCTCTTTGAACTATCTGGGCAGGCATCGAGTTTTGGAGGTTCCAACATTGATCCAACTGCCTGGGAGGATAAAAAGTGTAAAGGAGAGTCAAGGTTCCCTGCTCAGGTAAGGTTATGAATTACAGCTCATTTTCTATTGAGGCTTTTGAAGGATCTGTGTAGATTTTCTTAGTTTCACGTACTTAATGCTTAGGTGAGGATCCGTGTCCGGAAAGTCTGTAATCCTTTGGAGGAAGATGCTTTCAGACCAGTTTTACATCATTATGATGGCCCCAAGTTCCGTCTAGAGCTCTCCGTTCCTGAGGTAAGATGATCATTCACATATAAGTTTCATGCACCTGTTATGGGCAGACTGCAGGTTTTTAACCCCTAAAACCTTATCGGTTTTGCAGACTTTGGACTTACTAGATCTCTGTGAAAAAGCCGGTGTGTAGGTGCTATGTGCTCGTGCTGGCGTCCTGTACTAGTAAGCATAAAAGAACTGTAGCCTATGTGAATGTTATAGGTTTGTGGTGCATGTCAGCAGTGTGCTGTCCGTAGATTTTCCTTAGCATAAGCTTTGGGGTGCAAGTCTGGTTAAGAGGTTGTAAGTTTAGGATTGGTTTGTGTTAGCCAAATAAGTGCAATGCTTATCTCTGAAGATATTTGCAGAGTGGCTTCACAAATTTAGCTATGTAATCTTACAGTAAACTAGAAACAAGTAAGACGATTATGTAATGGGTCAAGATCGAATGTGTTTCTGTATCTGCAGAGGAACTCTGCTTCATGTGATTTGTACCGTATGAATTCTTAACATTTATTTCCATTTAGGGAATGCCAGTGCGTGTCCACCAAGGAATTTGGTGACTTTGTCATAAAAATATTTGTGTTGATGGTGAAAGTCTATCCAACAACAAGTTTTTTGCAGAAACTATGTGGCTCTCTTGGCCATAACAGTGATTAAGTAATGTGTCCCCAAACTTGGCTGGGACTGATAATGGTCCTTCAGCTGCAGTTTTGGTACCTTTAACTTCCCAGCTATGTTTTTCATCATATGAGATAACAATCTAGATAACATTTAACAAAATAATCATGCTAAACATTACTTTCAGAATATTTTGATGTTGACAGACGGCGCAATACACAATTTGTTTTTCCCTGTACTTTCATAATCCAAGGTTGAAAAAAGGTTCACTGACCAACTTTGCAGGGTTATATTTCCAATCTGTAATAGATAGTGAAGACATTTGTCGTCCTCCAATTCTTACAAATGTGGTGGCATCAGGTCCCGAAATGCAGTAGTCGTGAATTTTGGAAGGATCCAAAATCATGGAGCTGCATTTACAAGGCTCCAACCGGGTGTTTTCTTTAAGCTTCCTTCCTTCATCCGCTTCCTTAGTTTTACCACATCGTCCCATCTTTCAGCTTCTGCATACATATTAGATAAGACGACATAAACTCCATGACTATTTGGATTCAAAAGCAGAATTTCTTTCACAGCTCGTTCTGCAATATCTACGTTTCCATGGATCTGACATGCATGTAACAAGGAACCCCAGATAACCACATCAGCCTTCCAAATCATTCCTCTTATGAGCTGCTCAGCTTCTAGTAGTTTCCCATTCCGCCCAAGAATGTCAACCATGCATCCGTAATGCTCAATCTTGGGATCTATACGGTATAACTCTTTCATGGAGTGACATATTCCTTCACCATAGTCAAATAACCCAGCATGGCAGCACGCTGACAGAACCCCAACTAATGTAATGTCATTTGGCTTCACTTTTTCTTGTTCTAGTTCCTTAAAGAAGTTAATTGCTTCTTTTCCATGTCCATGGGCAGCTAACCCGCAAATCATTGCATTCCAAGTTGCAATGTTCCTTTCTCTCATACTGCTAAAGCACTTGTTTGCTTCTACTATGGCACCGTTCTTTGCATACATGTTCACTAATGCCGTTCCAAGAATCACTCCTAATTCCATCCCGTTTTCCTCCATATACGCGTGAATCTGTTCTCCTAATTGCAAACTACCTGACTGGGCACAAGCTGACAACACAGAAGCCAATGTAGCTCCGTTGGGCGCCATTCCATCCTCAAGCATACGCTCAAACAACTGAATAGCATCACCATACCTATCATTCTGAGCAAACCCACAAATCATCGTCGTCCAAATACTCAAATTTCTCTCAGGAACTTCATCAAACAATTGCCGCGCATCCCTCAATAAACGAGAGACGGAATAAGCCCTGATCAAACCATTAACAACATGCAAATCTAAATCTAACCCAAATTTGATAGCATGACAATGCACTTGTCTACTAACATAAATACACATCACGTTGGAACAAGCTTTTAGTACAAAAGGGAATGTATGTTTACCGGGAGCGACGCAAAGTCTTCGCATCTTTACATAAAGAAGCAAGGCTTGTCGGGGATTTGAGCTACCAGCTTGAGCTCTTATGAGAGTGTTCCACATGAATGAATTGGGTTCGTTAATACTGTCGAAAAGTCTTACTGCATAAGAAAGGCTGCCTGATTCTGAGAGAGCAGAGAAGGACAGTAAACGGCTGGCGGCATAATTGTCGTGGATACGGGCCCTGATGATCATCTGGGCATGGATTTGCTTGAGTTGATGCAGTGAAGTACATTGGTCGGCTAGGAGAGAGAGGTGGGGAGGATTGCGTGATGGTGGAGCAGAAGGAGCATAGGTTATACTACAGAGGTGCCTGTAAATGTAATGGAGTCCCCTTATCTTGAACAGTTCCATTTTGGCGGAACCATAATTCAGAGCCAGCTTTGAAATATATATATATACTAGATATAGGACCCCGTGCCAGCACGGGGCCCAAATATATATATTTTTTATTTTAATTTATGTCATATTATGGAATTTGAGAAGTTATTGAAATTTTTATCTGATTTTAAAAATATTTTAAATTTTTAGCTATTGTGATTTGTAGTACTTTTTTTTAACATAATTTAGAAAAAAATATTGATTACTCTGTTTGTTCTAATTTATGTGGCACACGCAGAATTTTAAATATTAAGCATTTTTTATATGTCTCTTTAATATATTAAGTTGTTAATTATTGTATTTTATTGTATATTTTGAACCTAAATTTTTAATAATATATGTTATTTGCCATGTCCCAATTTATGTGACATTAATTGATAGATTTGTTGGAGTCGAGAGATTTATTTTGTTAATTATTGTAATTTATATATTTTTTTTCCGTCAATTTCAAACAATATATGTTGTTAATTGATAGAATACTTTTAATGTAATTTTTTTAAAAAAATATGTGTGACTCTCCATGTCCCAATTTATGTGGCACATGTAAAGTTTTGACAATTAACCAAAATTTTAATACATTTAAAAAAATATTTTTAAGTCGTTAAATTTTAGGTAATAAGTAATTTAAATTGTTGTATTATTTATTACAATTTATAATACTTTTAAAGTAGTTAAAATATTGTACAATTTATTATGATTTATAACACTTTTTTAAAAAATTTATGTCATATTATGAAATTTGAGAAGTTATTGAAATTTTTATATGATTTTAAAATTTTTTTAAAGCTATTGTGATTTGTAGTACTTTTTTTAACATAATTTTGAAAATAATATTTATTAATCTATTTGTTCTAATTTATGTGGCACATGCAGAATTTCAAATATTAACCCTTTTTTATATGTCTCTTTAATATATTAAGTTGTTAATTATTGTATTTTATAGTACATTTTGAACCTAATTTTTTAATAATATATGTTATTTGCCATGTCCCAATTTATGTGGCATTAATTGATAGATTTGTTGGAGTCGAGAGATTTATTTTGTTAATTATTGTAATTTATTGTTTCTTTTTCGTCAATTTCAAACAATATATGTTTATCATATAATCCATTTTATGTGGTACCAATAGAATTTAGAGAGTCAATTAAATTTTGTATATAAGTTTTAAATAATTAAGCTCTTAATTATTGTAATGTATAGTATTACTTATAGTATTTTTAAATATATTTAAATATTATATGTTAGGTTTTTTATCCTAATTTATATGGCATTGATAGAATTTAAAGTGTCAAATAATTGTTAATTATTGTAATAGATAATATCGAGTATTTAAGTCATTTATAGTATAGTATAATTAATATATAATATGTAGTATTTAAGTGTTATATTATGGAATTTGAGAAGTTATTGAAATTTTTATATGATTTTAAAAATATTTTAAATTGTTAGCTATTGTGATTTGTAGTACTTTTTTTTTATATAATTTTGAAAATAATATTTATTACTGTATTTGTTCTAATTTATGTGGCACATGCAGAATTTCAAATATTAACCATTTTTTATATGTCTCTTTAATATATTAAGTTGTTAATTATTGTATTTTATAGTACATTTTGAACCTAATTTTGTAATAATATCTATTATTTGCCATGTCCCAATTTATGTGGCATTAATTGATAGATTTGTTGGAGTCAAGAGATTTATTTTGTTAATTATTGTAATTTATAGTTTCTTTTTCGTCAATTTCAAACAATATATGTTGTTAATTGATAGAATACTTTTAATGTAATTTTTTTAAAAAAATATGTGTGACTGTCCATGTCCCAATTTATGTGGCACATGTAAAGTTTTGACAATTAACCAAAATTTTAATACATTTAAAAAGATATTTTTAAGTCGTTAAATTTTAAGTAATTTAAATTGTTGTATTATTTATTACAATTTATAATGCTTTTAAAGTAGTTTAAATATTGTACTATTTATTATGATTTATAACACTTTTTTTTTAAATTTATGTCATATTATGGAATTTGAGAAGTTATTGAAATTTTTATATGATTTTAAAAATATTTTAACTTGTTAGCTATTGTGATTTTTAGTACTTTTTTTTAACATAATTTTGAAAGTAATATTTATTACTCTATTTGTTCTAATTTATGTGGCACATGCAGAATTTAAAATATTAACCCTTTTTTATGTCTCTTTAATATATTAAGTTGTTAATTATTGTATTTTATAGTACATTTTGAACCTAATTTTTTAATACTATATGTTATTTGCCATGTCCCAATTTATGTGGCATTAATTGATAGATTTGTTGGAATCGAGAGATTTATTTTGTTAATTATTGTAATTTATAGTTTCTTTTTCGTCAATTTCAAACAATATATGTTGTTAATTGATAGGTTTTTTGGAGTGGAATTTTTTTTTTTTAATTATTGTAATTTATTGTTTCTTTTTTGTCAATTTCAAACAATATATGTTTATTATATAATCTATTTTATGTGGTACCAATAGAATTTAGAGACTCAATTAAATTTTTTATATAAGTTTTAAATAATTAAGCTGTTAATTATTGTAATGTATAGTATTACTTATATTATTTTTAAATATATTTAAATATTATATGTTAGGTTTTTTATCCTAATTTATATGGCATTGATAGAATTTAAAGTGTCAAATAATTGTTAATTATTGTAATAGATAATATGGAGTATTTAAGTCATTTATAGTATAGTAATTAATATATAATATGTAGTATTTAAGTGTTATATTATGGAATTTGAGAAGTTATTGAAATTTTTATATGATTTTAAAAATATTTTAAATTCATAACAATATATTTCAATGTACAAGATTTTGATAAAATAAAATCTTTAAAGTTAAATTATAATGTTTTTGAAATTTAAATTATTAAAACATATATAATGATTTTATAGAAAAAATAATATCATATAAAATTAAATGAAAAGGATAATAAATTCAACTTTTACCATGATAAGGTTGAAAAATATTATTTAAGTGGAAGGAGATGGGGCCCACTTTTGATAGTAAATCCTAGACTCTTCTTATTTAAGTGTTATATTATGGAATTTGAGAAGTTACTGAAATTTTTATATGATTTTAAAAATATTTTAAATTCATAACAATATATTTCAATGTACAAGATTTTGATAAAATAAAATCTTTAAAGTTAAATTATAATGTTTTTGAAATTTAAATTATTAAAACATATATAATGATTTTATAGAAAAAATAATATCATATAAAATTAAATGAAAAGGATAATAAATTCAACTTTTACCATGATAAGGTTGAAAAATATTATTTAAGTGGAAGGAGATGGGGCCCACTTTTGGTAGTAAATCCTAGACTCTTCTAATATATAGTAATATATAAAGTGTTTTGTCTATTAAAAAATAAAATACTATAGTATTTCGGAAATCTGTATCATTTCATTAAAAAAAAAAAAAGGTCTCTGAATTTTAAAGTAAAATACTGTGTGAAAAAATAGAATTATCAAATTAAGCCATTATTTTAAGCGATTCACCAAAGTAATACATTTTAATTTTTTTTTACAAAACTAGTATAAGCGTATTTCACAGTAACGTTTTAGGTATAATTTATTTTTAAAGCTGACGATGTTAAGTTGAGAAACGTTACTATGAGTAACGTTTTACTCTAAAAAACGTTACTCATAGTAACGTTTTATAATACGATACTGAGAGTCACGTTTTACACCTAAAACGTTACTCACGGTAACGTTTCTTAAGAATCCAATCAAGGGACATCAAATCCTTCAAATTTAGAATCGAATCCTGCAAAGTATATATTCCCTCTGTCTCAATTTATGTGACACATTTTGGATTTCGAGAATCAAACAAGTTTATGTTTGACCACAGATTTTTCACATATTTTTTAAATAATTTGAATTGTCAATAATTGTCAAAAATTGTAACTTATAGTACTTTTTACGTAGTTTACAAATATATAAATTTCATTTTTAAAAAATTGAAGATTACATGAACAAATTCTCGATCAAACTTAAATTGTTTGACTCTAAAAAAATGAAATGTATCGTATAAATTGGAATAGAGGGGGTATATTAATAATTTGTACTCTAAAATGTTCTTTCTTCAATTAGTGGGAGATAATTTGTGTTTACCGATAAAAAAAATTCTTATCAAATTATTACACTAAAATTCATAAAAATATAGATTTCTTGTACAAACTATAGCTATATTTGCTGGATTCAATTTTAAATTTGCAGGATTCGAAGTCATGTGATTAGATTCTTAAGAAACGTTATTGTGAGTAACGTTTAGGTGCAGAACGTGACTCATAGTAACGTATAATAGAACGTGACTCATAGTAACGTATTATAGAACGTGACTCATAGTAACGTATTATAGAACGTGACTCATAGTAACGTATTATAAAGCGTTACTCATAGTAACGTTTCTCAAGTTAAAGGCGTCAACACATAACTTATTTTTTAAAAATAAAATATACCCTAAAACATTAATGTGTAATACGTTTATACTAGTTTTATAAAAATCTTAAAAAACATATGATTTTGTGGCTTAGTTAGGTCAAAAATTAAATTACGGAAAAAAAGTACTTTTGATCCATACATATTAAATTATCTGATCAAATCTGAATTACGAGCGACAAATCACGACGATAATCCAAAGCTTGCCTTTACCCTCAACTCTGAACTAAAAGAAAATGTATTTCTCTTTTTAAACACAATTTTATTTTCTCTTTTCTGATTTTTCAAAAAATCATTCGTAAAAAAATAAAAAATTCAAATTATTTCCCTTCATTTTTTTATTTTTCCAAAAATTCTTATAAAAAAAGCCCTTGAATATTATTTAAGGTTGATTATGCTGAAGTTCTTCTTAAATTAATAATTTATTTCTTGTAAGTTACTTATGAATCTTATAACTTTAAATTAAAGATATGTAAAATGTATCTAAATATCGTTTGACTTTATAATTTAAGCATGTCACATGAAAAAATGAATTAATAGAGCCATTAAAGAGAGAGAAAGACATTTTTTTTAAATAGACGAAAAAGAAATAAACAAATTCAAACTAACTTAATTCACATTGATCTATCTAATCCAAAATATGATTTTAATAAGTTATTTAATACTTTATCCGTTCACTTTTATTTGTCACTTATTTCTAAAATAGATTTTTATTTTTATTTGATATTTTTGATATATCAAGAAAGACAATAATTTTTTTCATGTTATACCCTCAACATTAAATATTTGTTTTCCAAATTATTTTCCAAGATATCATTTAATAGGAATAGTTTGGTCGAGTGTATAAGAATAATGCTAAATAGAGTGTATTAATAATACTTGTATTAAGAGTGCATCTATTAGTTATGTTTGCATTAATTATACATAAATTATTTTAATGCACGGTCTGATTTGATGCATTAAAAATAGTATGTATTGTATTAAAAAAATTATTTACAAAGACACCCTTCACTTTTTATGGTAGAAAAGATGTAAAAAAGGTTTTGAGGGGATATTGAGTCTTTTATCATATTGATGCATGCATTAAAATCATTGCATTACTAATACCTAGAAATCCATGGTATTAGTTATGCACACCTTAATACAGAGAAAATGACATAAATAGTCCCTTAACTTTAAGAGTAGGTCTAAAATGTCTCTTAACTATACACTTAACGGATTTAATTCTTTAATTATTCAAAAATTTATCAGTTTTGGTCCCTTAACTATACATCTAATGGTTTTAGTCCCTAACTATAAACTTACCAATTTTAGTTCTTTAAGTATTCAAATACTTATCAGATTTGATCTTTGTTCATTTTTTTAATACAAAATAGCTTAGGTTTATATTAACGGAATCTATGCCTCTAGAAATAAATCCTTTAGCAATTTTTTTTGTTGTTTCTTTCTCTCTGCTACTTTTTCTTCAAATTAACCTTATGCGAATAACTTTAACCTCAACGATTTAAAATAAATTTCACGAGGAAAGAAAATATAAGTTATAATTTTATTCAATGGAGGATAAAATTAAGCATATTATTGCTACTAAGGACTTGAATATGCTAAACTTTATTATAAAAAGAAAAAAAATCATTACCCGTTAAATCCAAAGTTTGTACTCCAATGACTTCATGGAACGGAATTTGTTTAATTTTTTAGAAATGAAAATTTATAAAATGATAGATTTGCAAATTTTTTTTAAAAAGAATAGATCAATTTTATTATTCTATTCATTTTATTTTACATAAAGAAATTTGAATAAATTAAATAAAATCCGCACTGATTAGTATATTCAAGTGCGGATTTAAGTCATTAACAACAACTATATGCTTAATTTTATCCTTCATTGAATAAAATTAAGACTTATATCTTTTTTCCTTATTAATTTTATTTTGAATCGTTGACGTTATTGTTCTTTTCATAAGAGTAGTTTGAAGAAAAAAAGGCTGGAATAGAGAAACAACTTAATTAAAAAAATAGGGTAAAGATTTTATTTTACGAAGATTTCTATTAATATAAACCTAGGCTATTTGTATTAAAAAGTGGGGAAAGACCAAACCTGATAAGTTTTTGAATACTTAAAAGACTAAAATCGGCAAATTTATAGTTAAGGGACTAAAATCGGTAAGTGTCTAGTTAAGGGACCAAAGTTGATAAGTTTTTGAATAGTTAAAGGACTAAACCCGTGTGTATAGTTAAGAGACCATTTTACACCTACTCCTATAGGTAACAGACTATACACAATAAAGTGCATTAGTTATACAGAGGTTCAAAAAGAGTACCAAACAAGGTACTAGTAATACATAAGACTAATACATGCATTATTTTTTCTAATACACTCTATCAAACGATCTTTAATGTGTATGCAAATAAAGTGAGACAAATAAAAATGAATAGAGGAGTAATAAATTAAAATTTAATTAAAATAATTATGAGCTGTTTCAACCTTATTTCACTTGACACTGCTCGCTTATTAAAGCCAAAAACAATGAGCTGGCCTGGCGACATGTACATATGGTGAAGTGAAATAGAAATCCACCGTGGCAATCAAAGGCGACCTCGACAATAATACACGTCAGAAGTCACACCGCACCGTTAGATTTCCAATTACATGAATAGCTTCTCTTCTTAGCCTCAAATTCGTCAGGTAGTGAGGCCGCTCCAATATTTGTACAAATCTCCTCATCACTCTCACAACTCACACACATTGCAGGACTACAGTGAAGCCGGCGGCAAAGAAAACTGAGGAAGTGAGAAATGCCTGGGATTAGAGGGCCTTCCGATTATTCGCGAGAGCCCCCTCGCCATCCTTGCCTTAAAATTAACGCCAAGGTTAATCTATAAAATTCCCTTCTTCTTTATTCCTTTGCCACACTGCAACATGTCTGTAATGATCGCTGCAATTAAGTTTTCCGATCATCTGAACCCTCAATTTTTGAGAGTCAATGGTAGTTATTCCGAATCGTATTATATTTTCATCCTTATGGTGGAGTTTCTATTGCGATTTTCTGATAATTGGTTAAGATTGTATGCTGATCGAATCATTACGGGAATTGCTGATTAGCTAATTTTTGTGTAGGAACCTTTTAATGCCGAGCCAACTCGTTCAGCTCTGATTTCATCTTATGTCACTCCTGTTGATTTCTTCTACAAGAGAAACCACGGACCCATACCAGTAGTGGATGACATAGAGAGGTTTTATACTTTGGCTTTTTTTTGTAAAATCCTGTTATTTTTTTAAGAGCTTTCTTGCTGAGAGTGCTTGGCCATTCTTCAGGTATTCCGTTTCTCTGAGTGGTCTTATTAAAAATTCCAAAGACTTGTTTATGAAGGATATTTGGTGAGGATACTGCAGACTCCTTTACATCAATACTTCAATTTTCATGTTACTCACTCAAATAATTGATGTATTTTTTTTTTTTGTTTATAAATAACAGTAAGCTTCCAAAATATACCGTTACTGCCACTTTACAGGTAAATTCTCATGCTCCGACTCCAGAACGTTGTGTTAGTTGCTGGGAGAGAATTATGGACTGGGAAATGATAAATTGAAAAAGAAATTTTTGGGCCATATCTTATAAAATTTTCATGAGGGGAATATGTACTACTGTTGATCGTTCAGTTATTTGCAAAACTAATTTGTTTAGTTCTTCTCTAGTGTGCTGGTAACAGAAGAACTGCTATGAGCAAGAGTCGAACGGTGAAAGGAGTTGGTTGGGATATTGCTGCTTTAGGAAATGGTAAGTTGATTAAACCTGCAGTGCTTTCATCATTTAAAAGCTTGGTCTGATATCTAATTCTCATATACTACTGTAGTGAACTTGAGAAATAAACTAGATTGGATGGAGAATTCGCAAGTTCAACATGTTTATGCTAGGAAGTTTCCATTTCCATTCTACATGTGATCATGTATACACACTCTTCTCTAAGTAGCCAAAGACAATTTTTAGATTATGCACCAAATTTCTGCTAATGCAATTCTATTTAAGTCTAGAACAGCTAGTATTAACATAATAAAATTAAAGGAACTTTGCTTGGTAAACTTGCTACATTACCATACACATACAGTAGTTTTTTCTATGTTTTATTCCATCCTTGGATTGACAAGGAGACCACCACCAAGCCCCCTTTGTAGCTCCCCCATTTTACTTTTTAACTTCTTGTGATACTAAATTTGGTAAATGTGATTGCTTTAACTGATTTGTATGGGTTGTACCCTTTTTCTTCTACTTCTGAGAGGTTTCACTTCCTATATATTTACATGTCTCGCTGCTGTTTTCACGATGCTTTATAATTTAATCGACTTCGTAGTTTGTTTGTTTGTTACTCACTTATTTTGGTAAGTTCTCCTTGAAGTATTTAGTGTCTAATGTGAGTATGACTTTACTAAATGTAATTGTAATGTCACGGACCCATGAAATCAATTTTTGAAAGAATCCATTAAAAAGAGTTCAGTTGAAGAACTTTAATCAGGTCCTACACTTCTACTCATGTGCATAACAACTGATGGGTTTGTTTCTTATTAGCACTTAACAAGATTTCATTGAGCTTCCTATTAAATAAAACTTAAGGGGCTTATGTAATACTCCCTCTGTCCTAATTTATGTGGTACCGTTTGACTTGACACGAAGTTTAAAAAAGAAAGAAGTCTTTTGAAATTTGTGGTCTAAAACAAATCTTAGGCAATTGTGTGACTGACTATATATCAATTCATTAAGGGTAAAAGAGTAATTTTATAGTTATGTTGTTTCTAATTATAGAAAAGTTTCATTCTTTGGGAGTATCAATTTAGAACGAAGATCATGAGTCAGATGCTAAATGTGCCTTGCATTACCTGTTTCAGTATTTCTAGTTGGATGATAAGTTGCAGTTCTCTAAAGTAAAGACTTCTTTTTGTATGTATAGTTAAGTGGTTGTGTGCACCAAATGTAAATAATACTGGATGCCTAGTCAACAGAGCTTAAGAAATATCCTAGTTTTGTATTCCTTTGAGAGAGTTAGATGATAAGAAAAATATGAGACTTGGGACATTAAATTTAACAACAATTTAACATAGGAACCAAAATTTGTACTAGAGTAATCCAATTCACTCTACTCCGTTAATGTGTCCTTCTTATGGTCTTCTTTAGAATGATTTTCGGAAAATGTGATATTTTCTGTTATTATTTCTACTATATACCCCCTGGTACTTGTATAATAAAAATTCAAATCAACATTTCAAGCTTAATTTAACATAGGTAAAAAAATACACTACCTAATCAAAATATGACACATGAATTGGGACAAATGGAGTAATAAGTTGTGGAACTTGTAATGATTGAGTGAAAGGAGTATAAGAACTTACGTTTTATTCTAATTCATTATCTAGTGATTATGGTAAAGAATTAATTAAACCATTTGCATCTATCTGACAGAATATATATATATATATATATATATATATATATAGGATTTAATGTTTCCTAACCACAGATTCACCTCTTTCACTATCTGCACTTGATATGGTTATTTGCTTTGGTAGTAAAAATAATAATGGTTTGGGTCGTGTATTTCTGGTAGAAGGGAAGGTTCCCTTGGAACAATATTTATTCAGTCAAGGGTTCCTTGTCTCTCTCTTTTTTTTTTTAAATATGGAAAGGGGGGGAGGGTATGAGGAGAAATTCCAAGAAGATATTGGAACATACATTTGGAAGAGATGATGGAGGCAGGAGTTAATTTTATACTGATGCATCGGTCCCTCCACGAAAAATCACTTTTTCCAGTTGTCTGTGTTAGGAATTATTTTTGAGAAAAATCTGTTTAGTATAAAATGCTTGTTGGTGCCTCATTTTAATATAAATAAATAAATTTATATTTAACTAGTTACATTGTTGTGCATTTCAGCTGTTTGGGGTGGAGCAAAATTGGCAGATGTTCTTGAATTAGTTGGAATACCTTATTTGACAAGTATCACGCAATCTGGAGGAAAACATGTTGAATTTGTGAGCATTGACAAGTGTAAGGTGATTATGTAGGATATCTTATTCATTGATGAAAATGTTGTTTCTTTTTTCTCTTTTCTTCTTTTACTTTTCTTTACTAGAAATATAAACTTTGCTGTAAAACCCCCCTGGCTCAGCAACATATTTATGATTCTAGGAGGAAAATGGAGGTCCTTATAAGGCATCAATTCCATTGAGTCAGGCTACAAACCCTGAAGCTGATGTTCTTCTGGCTTATGAGATGAATGGAGAGGTAATACAAATCACTGTCTTCTATCTTTATTAAATATGCTTGTTTTCTCAGTTTCATCTTCTATTGTCTAGTAAAATGATGGTATGCTTTACATTCAATGTTGTGTGCAACTTTGGTCTTGTATCAGTTTGACCTATTTTGCTTATTCAGTTTTCCTAATAATGTAGTTGCTTTAACAACAACAACATGCTCAGTGAAATCCCTCAATGATTCAACTAGTGTTATCTATTATTTAAGTTGGTGTATGTCTTTTTAGCCCATTCCAACATAATATCCAGTTTTTCAACAAAATTTATCAAACAAATAATGCTATAAGAAAAGCTTTAAGCAACCCACATAGATTGATCTCTTTATAACTTTCCTATTGTACACTTAAAAAGACAAATTTGTTGTGGGTCTGTATTTTCCCTTGTGAAATATTTTATAGTGCAGTTAATAAGTTTCTCTACAATTTGTTCAAAATCAAACCAAAGAATCCTATTTGAAACTGTTGGAGAATTTATGTCTTATTTTTTGGGTCTTGATGTGACATGAAGTAACACACTTTGTCACTTGCAAATCCAATATAACAAACTATTCAAATGGTTTGTCCTTCAATTCTAACTTTGTGGAGTTATCTGGTTCATTGAAGGATGAGCATTGTGTTAAATTTGACTGTTTGACTTGAGTTTATAGTCATTTTCAGTGTATCAATCAATTGTAATCTCGTGTATTGAATGCTGTGCCTTATTGTAATATCCAATGACATCGTTGGTTAATTCTGCAATTTTCTGAGTTTATTGCTTCAACTGGGGATGACTTTCTGAATTTATTTCCAATTAAAATTAATGTCATCTATTTGGTTAAGTAGTCCATTAGACAGCAATCAATGGGAACAAAGAGGGTGATATCTGATTTGACAGAGAATTATACTTCTAATAACATGTTGAGCCTTCTTAATAAAAAGTGGTATTTGGAGCATAAAAACAACATTATTCCCAGTGTAATCCTACAAGCAAAGTGAGGTCTGGGGGTATTTTGAGTATGCTATTCTAGAATTATCTTTGTAATTTTGTTTCTAAGCTCAATATCTTGGTAATGAGAACACTAGCATTTTGAGTGTCAGCTTGGAAACTTCTGCTTCGGCCCTTCACCCTTGCAATTTCCTTTTAAAACCTGATAAGTTGATTGTTCAACATACTGTACTAACCTTACTGGATTCACGTGTGAAGCCAATTAATAGGGATCATGGCTATCCACTGCGTGTGGTTGTCCCTGGTGTGATAGGTGCCCGTTCAGTTAAGTGGCTTGATTACATCAATATCATTGCCGAAGAATGCCAGGTTGTTATTTATGTATTAACAACTTCAGGATGGTGAAACATTTTCTTTTGAACTTGTTAACACAATATCTGCTGGACAGGGATTCTTTATGCAAAAAGACTACAAGATGTTTCCACCAACAGTGAACTGGGATAACATCAACTGGTCTACTAGGAGACCGCAGATGGACTTCCCTGTTCAGGTAATTGGTTAAATTTCTCCCCATCAGTAGGTGGTTTACATTGGGGTTCTTTTAGTTTTTTTGTATATAAACTTATCTATCCTGTAAATAGGTAGACTGGGAATTCATGATTACAGTTTTGGGTGGCGTTTGCTTCAAAAATTCGGAAGCTTGTACTCGAAAATCTTTTCGATTTTTTTGAAGCAAGCATAACCTTGGTCATTTTATTCGGATACAATAACTTGCTAAATAGTACTTGTATGAACTTTGTGAGTTACTTGTGGATTGCGTTACCCCAATTTTCTAAGTTATGTGGTGTTTTGTACTTATGTGGAACTTCAACTTTGAATATATATATTTTTTTCTGTTTTAACTCACATGTTGTCGAAAGAATACTTAGTTACATTACACACAGAGTTCGTTGAACTTGAGAGAAACACTTAGTTGGAAATGATAGTTGGATTTAAATGGTTGATGCATGTGTTCTAATTTGTTTGATAGAATATTAAAACTGGGTTTTTGATTTGCAATAACACTATGCCAGAACTTCTCTTTTCTTGTATAATAAATAAGGATTGATGTCCCTGAGATATGGTGTTACTAGAGTTCTTTACATGATGGTTCTAGAAAGTAGAAAGCCTTGTGATTACTTTTAAGAGTGTCTATTTTCCAGATCTGAGATGGTCCAACTAGCTAACTGTCTGTTGATCAAATGATTGATTTATCTGGCCTGACTTTAGCATTTATATCTGGCTGTTTACCAACATGGCTTTACAACTTCTTCAAATTTGTCTATTGCTGACAGTTACTATTCCCTTTTCTGGTTACAGAGCGCAATATGTTCCCTGGATGATGTGAGTGTTGTAAAGCATGGAAAGGTCAGTTTTAATATGATAAAACTTTGTTCAAGCATTTCTTGACATTTATCTTATTTTTTTGATGGACACTTTTACATATACTCGTGTAAGTGAAAAGAAATGAGTTTGCATGGTTCAGTTATGCAGCCTTGTTTTGTACTGCTGCACGTAGACAATCATAGTACTTCGTTAGGTTGTTCTAGCGGCAATTATTTGTTTTCAGATAACCATCAAGGGGTACGCAGTATCAGGAGGTGGGCGTGGCATAGAAAGGGTAGATGTGTCTATTGATGGTGGTAAAACTTGGGAGGAAGCCACCAGATACCAGAGAACTGGCGTTCCATATATTGCTGATGATTCAAGCAGTGACAGATGGGCATGGGTCTTTTTTGAAGCTGAGGCAAATATTCCACAGAGTGCGGAGATAGTTGCTAAAGCGGTAAGTTTCTAGTTATCTGTAAAATTTGCATGTTTTCTTAATTCTAATAGAAAAAAGGTTCAATTGTTAACTTCAACAATTTCTGATGAAATCTATCTTTAGAATGAGATGTTTCCAGGATCAGTTTTAGACTTTAGTTAATATTCTTTTTAGTATTCTAAGGACTGTAGTTATAACGTAATAATGTACAATGGCACATCTAGCAACCCCATAATTTGCTATATGCATTAAGAAGTTGCTTTCTCATGTTATTTTACACTGGAAGACGTCAGTCTGCCGATTTTTTTGCTCCGTTCTCAGTTGATATTCTATGTTCAATAGGTGGATATATCTGCAAATGTCCAACCTGAAAGTATAGATTCTGTCTGGAATCTGAGAGGAATCCTGAACACCTCATGGCATCGGGTTCATGTCCGAGTTGGTCAAGCAAATCTTTAGGCTGTGTTTCATGTGTTGAGCAGATGACAGTATTCAGCATCACAGGCCATGGTTGTTTGTATCTTCCTAGCTTAAAATGAAAAAACATGGTTGTTTGTATCTTCCTAGCTTAAAATGAAGATGACATGGTTGTTTGTATCTTCTTAGCTTAAAATGAAAGTAGCATGGTTGTTTGTAACTTCCTAGCTTAAAATGAAAATAAAATGTTTTCTTGATGTTGTCTCAAAATACTAATGGAAATAATAATAATAATAATTTGGAAGTGATTGCATCTTGACAATCAATTGTGCTAGTTTCTTCCCCAGTATCTATTTTTCTATATTCCTTTGTAGTTTGATCTGGATAAGCTCCTAATTATTTGTTGAGTTTTGGGATGACGGAACTACTGATGTGAAAGCAAGAGAGGTTCCAATCACAGCTGGTTAGAATATTAGGAAACTGGTTAGTAGGTTCTGCTTTACTTTGCAATTAATTTGGTATCTTATTATGTCCTCTTCTCGAAAACTTGTTTGGGATCGAGGCGTAGTTGTATTATGTCTTCCTCGCCATCATCGCTGATGATTGTATCTTCTTGCCGCCTCAACCACCATGTGGAACGGTGAAGTCTATTCTTTCGTCACAGGTAGCTTGTTTTTCTTCATTTTGAGCATGTGTTTGTATATTGTAGTTATGAATAGGTTGCGCAATAGAGACACAGAATGAGGTTCAAGATTTGTGTTTGTGTTTGTCTTATTTAACGAAAGTAGATGTAGTGCCCTCCAAAAAGAACGAAAGTGAAGTGGGATGGGATGAGGAATTTGAGGTGCATTCATACGTATATGTAGACAGGTGGAGAATGATCACATTCGAAAAAGAGGTTCAAAGAAAGGATTGGGGAAAGAGAGGCGAACGTCAAAATCAATTTGCATTAGAAAAGTCTACGGGACAAAATAAACAAAGCCCTAAACAAGTCATTCTTATAGTAAAACAATTATAACTCTGACAAGGAACAAATAAGATCTTATATCCAACTAAATAAAAGATAAGATTCCTCTAATAGTAATATAATACTTTATTGTCAACTAAAAGATTAAAAGGCCTTATTGTTAAACAAAGGTCAAACACATATGCAGACCCTTAAACTTGTTCCTAAATTTCATTTTGACATTCCAACTCAACCTTATTCCATTGTAACCCTTCAACTCCAATTTTTATGTTCCATTTTGGCACTTCTAAGTGATGTGGCAGAGAGTGTGCATCACACATTCTCTAAGAGAGTGAAAGACAAAAAAAAAAGTATTTTTTAAAAAAATAATAAAAGATTACCTTTCAACTCTATTTCTTTTATGTACCATTTAACACAAAATACTAATTTTATGATTTCTTTATTTCTATATATGTTATTCAACTGCAATTTTGCATTTTAAAAATTGACGATCATCCGTTAATTATTGTAAAAAATTAAAACTGACGGATTATCATTGTTTTTTTTAATAAAAAAAGTAACAATTTTTTTTTAAAGAATTTTCCTATATTTTTGCGTGAAAAATAACCTACGAAAGTGCGTCGATTTCTTTCTTAAAAAAATCAATGACAACCCAACGAAGTCTATCGAGTTTCAACATTTTTTGGTAGTGTTATTAATTAGCAATGAACATGAGTTTTTTTTCACTCGTATTTAATTAGTTGAATGAAAAATTAGAAAACTGATATTTGAGTTAGTTCAAGTAGACTAGATATGAAAAAAATATATGTGATGTTATTTAAATTAACTAATTGTTTTTAAAAAAACCAACACACTTTCGCAGATTATTTTTTCACACAATAAAGTACAAAAACTCTAAAAAAAAATTATTTTTTAAAAAAAATGTTCATCCATTATTTATTAGCACAATAATGGCATGTGAAGTACACACATCTCACTTTGTTGGTTCTTTGGAAAGAAGTGCCAAAATGGAACATAAAAATTGGAGTTGAAGGGTTAAAATGGAACAAGGTTGAGTTGGAGTGCCAAAATGAAATTTAGGGACAAGTTTAAGGGTCTGCATATGTGTTTGGCCTTAAACAAAAGATAAAGATGAAGATCCTAAGAATTTATTTTCTCATACTACTAGATATTTTTTCGTACGTTTCCTAAGATGCATCGGATGGTTTGATCTCTTCTTACCTGGAATTCTATTCATGAATTGTATGAGAGTTATGATTCGTAGTTAAGTTGGAAGTGTATACACGATAGCACGAATAATCGGAAAGTTGAAAGAAGCGTTCTCTTTCTTGGAATCAAAGCAAATTTAGTACTCCCTCCATTTCATATTAATTGAATTGTTAAAACATTTTTTATTATTCAAATTAACTTAATTATTCAATTTTCAAGACTACTTTTAGAATGTTTTTCCAATTTTACCCTTTATTAGTTAGTATTGAAATTAGTTATTAATTAATATTTAGTTATTTTAATCATAATTTTGAGAATAGTTAATAAGGGTAAAAATGGAAAGTTAAGCCTAATTTATGTCTTAATTTTCTTTTCTTAAAAGATGTGAAACACCTCAATAATTTAATTAATATGAAATGGAGGGAGTATAAGCCATGGAAGTAAATGTTTCATACATACTTAAGTCACACCGTGCTAACACATGAGTTTTGATTATTGATTATGAGAGTGCACAATTAAATAATAGGTCAAATCCATCAGCGATCCCCTAAAGTTAATAACAATTTTCACTTAGACATTTTAATTAGGTCTTGTTTATTTTAGACATCTGATCCCAGTGTGTCATTTTTAACACTTTTTTCACTAGCACATGTTTACTTCAAGTGTGTGTTAACCAAGTGCGTCCACGTAGATTAGATGCTCAATTATTTCATGCCAACTCATTAAAAATCTATCATATTAAAGAAAAAAAAAGAATTAAAATACATGACAAAGTAACCAATGAATAAATGACATGTGGTCTTTTTATCCCAAAAATTAAATAAAATATTTGACAAATTTAAAGAAAAATGCAACCCTCCCCCCCCACCTCACCCCACAACTTCCCTAGTCATCTTCCCCATTCATCCTCTCCATTGTATTACTCCATTTTTATTATTTTTGAGCGTTATTTTTTCTATCATAAACCCACACCCACACAATCTACTCTATCATATTCTTTCATTTTCATTATCTTTTCCGTCACACCCACAACCACACAACCATCTTCCCCGTTTTATTCCTCTTTTTCATGATTTTTTCCATTCATAGCACCCTCCCTCCCATTTCTTCATTTGGTTTAGGGCTAAAAGGTGCAAATGTATAACAACAATGGTTCATATTTTTAAGATTGCGTCTTTTTTTTTTAATTTTGTGATATTTGTAGTTTAATAGGGCTCAAGGTTAGTGAGATTAACATTTACATAGTAAAAATTGAGATTTTTTTGCTCATATTTTAGAATTATTGTGGGTGAACTTTACATGATTTGTTCAATTTCTTGTTTCTTTTTGGCTCTATCTGAGTTTGTAGTGCGAAATTTAAATTGAAATTATTATAACAAAAGATTTAACCTCCATTGAAGTACTTTAAGCTTTGAGAAATAATGGGAGAGATAGTGACTATAAAATGGGAAAGAAGAAGAGAAAAAATAAAATAAAATAGACTAAATAAGTCCCTCACACGTTAATAGCGAGTGTATCACACTCACTTTGTCATGTCAGCAGAAAGTGCCAAAATGACACAACGGAACCTGACATGAGGTGTCTAAAATGAATAAAACCTAGTTAAAATATCTAAGTGAAAATTACTGTCAACTTTAGGGGGTCGCCGATGAATTAAACCCTACCTATACTATATTTGTAGTTTAATTAGGGCTCAAGGTTAGTGAGATTAGCATTTACATAGTAAAAATTGAGATTTTCTTGCTCCTATTTTAGGATTATTGTGGGTGAACTTTACATGATTTGGGGTGTTGATGATATGAGTTTGATTTCTTATTTCTTTTTGGGTCTATCTAAGTTTGTAGTGCAAAATTTAAATTGAAATTATTATAACAAAAGATTTAAACTCCATTGAAGTACTTTAAGCTTTGAGAAATAATGGGAGAGTTAATGACTATAAAATGGGAAAGAAGAAGAGAAAAAATAAAATAAAATAGACTAAAATCACTAAATAAGTCCCTCACGCGTCAATAGTCCATGCCAGCAGAAAGTGCCAAAATGACACAATAGAACCTGACATGAGGTGTCTAAAATGAACAAAGCCTAGTTAAAGTATCTAAATAAAAATTGCTGTCAATTTTAGGGGTCACCGATGAATTAGACCCTATCTATACTATACATATATAAAAAATAAAACGGTCCGATCTCTGATTCTGGTTAGAGTGTTACCTATATCCGGCGACTAGCTCGTGGGAAGTCGAAAATGTTAGAAAGTGATGAGAAATATTTTTTGAGTAGTAATAGAAGCGGAAAGATTTGATTCGTAGTTATTGAAAATCTCGACGGCAACAAGATGATGTTAAGTCCGGCATCACTGTTGCACTCGTTTTGTCTTTCTCTATTTCACATGTCTTGAATTCAAGGATAAGTTAATCGCCTCAAAAGTTGTTTGTCAATATCTCCCCAACCGTTGGATTGGAATGAATGTGAATGTGAATCTTATCTTCATTTAATACTTCATCGTTATAAACTACTTTTGGCTTAACTCTGTGTGGAAGTGGGGTAGTGATGATGCCATAACAGGCATGCAGTGGGTAGTAGCCTGTATCAATTCATGAGTCATGACAAATGTCAAAGTTGTGGAGCATTAGTCTCTATCTATCAAGTACAAAACCAAATAAATGTCAAAGTTGTGGAGCATAAGTTAATCTCTTAAGTAATGGTATCTCCCTAGGCGATTTGTCAGCTACCAACAAAATAATTACTATTGTACTTCATGACGTGTCAACTCAAAACACCACATTGAGCAACGTAACAAATTGTCACGGATTCAGAATTAGTTGATATTCTCCGTTCAAAATTAACAGCTCAAAAAAATATCACCTTTAAGATGAAAGATTAAGATTGGCACTTAGGTAGCGTTTAGCAGTAGATTTCCAAATACTTTTGGCAAATATTATTTGGGTGAAAATTTCACCATGTGTTTGGCCATAGTATTTGGGAAACATATTTCACCTTTTTAGAAAAAATATGATTTATATCCATAAGGTTTAAAAACTATCAAAATTAACCATAAGTTTGTATTACAAATCAATTGGATATTCGTCGCAACAAATAACAAATAGTGTCCATGACACTGGAGCAATGTGGTAGTTTGGAGTGAGTTCAACAAGCATCATTTCATCAACAACCATATCATCACTTTCATATTCACTGAATATTTTATCACTACTTTGGTGTTCACGTAAAAATTATGTAATACAGCGCAAACAACTACTATAATGGTGTTTTTGTAAAAGATAAAAAAATTGGTGTAAAATTTGAATTTTTAAAAGATCTCAAATAATGAGATTTGGCTCAAATACTAGTTTTTTCTAGTATTTGGGAATTTCGGTTGTTTGCCAAATTTGTCAAGTAATAGACAAACACTATTTGCCAAAGTTTTTCCTAAATTTTACTTGGAAAATCTATGACCAAACGGGTCCTTAATTTTCAATTATATTCTCAATATTAAAGAATATTTATTATTATCTTAATGTGTTTGAATAAAGTTAAATTGAACAGATAAAATACTACTTATTAATTATGGTTGAGTGTGCGGAATACTTTAGGATTACTTGGTGTGAAGGATTTGAGTTTGAGGGCCGGAATTAGAATATGGTTTTATAAGAGGAGAGTAATGTTGAAATTAGTAGTACTTAATTATTCTATTTTGATTGCCATCCAAACAAAGAAAATCCCTCGACATTCCAGTTTCCCTTCCTTTTAATTCCTTCCCTCCACAAACAAGATAGTATCAATTTGGATAGGTGTTCCAGAAGATGCTATTTCGTTGCCTTCTTCTTTATTAAACTCAGAAATTACAAAGTAATTAAGAAAATGCGGTAATAAAGAAAAGATATATATATATATTCTCTCTAATCAACTATATATTGACTTCATGAAATTAAAATGCATGATCAGAATACAATTCAATTGAATTCATAGTTTACTAGAGTAGTAAAAACCGCTATCATAAAGGACAAATCATATATTCCGAGTCTACAAAATTACAATGCTTTAAAGAAAAGCATACAAGTGAAAACTTGGAACCACCTAGCTACTCGACTTTCTAATATTCCAAAAAGACAGATCAATCACAGCTATTGATTTATTTATACATGTGTCAATAAACATATTATATATAGACCGATCTAGTTTATTACTTATATATGTACGTCCACACTTCTCTTTGTTTAAAATATATTGGAAGACATGATAATGGTCACCTTCCTCTCCATCTTCACCACATACCCCTTCTTCATTCTTCCATTCTTTTGTCTAACACTAATTCTATATCTATCGTATGTCATTGTTGAACAATTCCAGCAAGGTGCCAGAGGCTTTGAAGGACCGCCAACTTACCCCATCATAGGTTGCCTGATTCCATTTTACAAGAACCGCTATCGTCTCTTAGATTGGTACACTCATCTTCTCTCTCAGTCACCAACAAAAACAATCGTGATAGACAGATTAGGTGCTCGGAGGACCATAGTAACAGCTAATCCACACAATGTAGAGTACATGCTCAAAACCAACTTTGACAATTTTCCTAAAGGCAAGCCGTTCAATGAAATTCTTGGTGATTTTCTTGGAAATGGTATATTCAATGTGGATGGAGATATATGGTACAAACAGCGCAAGATGGTTAGCCATGAGTTCACCGCAAGGTGTTTGAGAGATTACGTTGTGAATGCCCTCAAAGAAGAGGTGGAGAACAAGTTGTTGCCTATGTTAGACTTAATGGAGGCTGAAAATAGAGCTTTTGACTTGCAAGACTTGTTAAGAAGACTTGGATTTGATGTCGTTTGCAAAGTTTCCTTGGGGTTTGATCCATGTTGCCTCAATCATTCTCTTCCATTTTCGCCTCTGCTACATGCCTTTGAAAGGGCTTCACAAATATGTGCTGGTAGAGGGGCTGCTCCTATATCTGCCATATGGAAGGTGAAAAGATGGTTAAAAATTGGATCTGAAAGACAGCTGAGACTAGCCATTGATCAAATCCATTCATCAGTCGCTACTATCATCCGCGAGAGAAAGATTAAGATCAGAGGAGAAAACCAGCAAGAGATCAGTAAAGATCTTCTTTCAAAACTGATATTGGCAGCAAACTTTGATGAGGAGGAAGTCAGGGACATGGTGATAAGCTTCATTATAGCAGGAAGAGACACAATATCTGCGGCAATGACTTGGTTGTTTTATCTACTTACTCTCCATCCTGAGATAGAAAATGAATTGGTTTCCAAGGAGCTAAGGTTTATAGAAGCTGAAACACTAACAAAGCATGAGACATTGAGAGAGATGAAATTCTTGAAAGCTTGCCTCTGTGAGACAATGAGACTCTATCCACCAGTTGCATGGGATTCAAAGCATGCAATTGCTGATGATATTTTGCCAGATGGTACTCGTATCAAAGCTGGCAATAGAGTGACCTACTTCCCCTATGGTATGGGGAGGATGGAAAACTTGTGGGGGAAGGACAGGTTAGAGTTTAAACCAGAGAGATGGATGCAGAATTCAGAAGAAGATGAAGGAGGAGCAGAGCAGGCATCAAATTTGTACAAGTTTCCAGTCTTCCAAGCAGGTCCAAGAGTTTGCCTTGGGAAAGAATTGGCCTTTATTCAAATGAAGTATGTTGTATCTTCAATATTGAAGCGCTTCCAAATCAGACCAGCTTGTTCAGATCCTCCTGTGTTTTTGCCACTCCTAACTGCTCATATGGCTGGTGGTTTTAAGATTTTTGTCCATAAAACTAAAAACATTAATTTAGATGATCCCTAAGTCTCTTCCTTCACATGCTCCAACGAGTTCTCCTTCCAACAGCTGCCACCATTATCTCTAAAGAATTTATTTCATTTTCTACCTTTAATTCCTGAGAATATTTATTGGTTTTACCGATCGATCAATACAGCAGCTACTGGTTCACATCCTCAAGGATGGAGGAGTATTTCAACTTTGTTTAAAGGTTTTAATAGCCAAGACAATTCTACCATCCTCTTCTTCTTCTTCTTTTTTTTTTATTATTTCCCCTGTAATCTTTTCTCTACACTTGGACTGGAAACAAAAAGCTTGTGAGAAAGGAATTAACTAGAGAAGAAAGAAATTGAAATCCTTCATTGTGTACCAAGAGAAATTTGTTTTACAAGATAGAAGTGGTTTGTAGCATATTTCCTGTTCATATTTCTACTCTTCAATCCCTTCTTGAAACATATGTTATCCGCGTAATCAAATAAATAATGGGCAGAAAAAGTAGTAAGTTATATTTACATTAAACCGATAAGTATAGCCGCATGGTAAGACTACAATACCAAAAAGAAGTAAGGTACAGATCTCTAACTTTGGCACCAATCGGAAGGAAAGGAAAAATATTGAATAAAAAATAGTATAGATATACTAGTCTATACGGTTTAAGTACCAACTACGTGAGAGTTGAAAATCAAACTGATTTCCATTCTACCCAAGTTGTTAAAATAAATTTGTTTCTATGCTTTAGAATATACTCTTATATATTACAGCTTGCATGTTTTTCTTTTTTAATTACTGTATTCTTATCAAGTTGGAAGACACATGCGTTATCTTCACGCTATATATAAAACTATTTTCAAGATTTACATAGGCAACTAACTATTTGTTATTAAATTGCAACCAAGTCAGATGCCATAAACAATAGTGTATATTTTTTGTTGCGTTGGTGCAAGAAGTGCTAAGTAGACGCAATTCTTTATCAACTTATTTAAACTCAATAGAACTTGTTTAATCCAGACCTGCAGCCTGCAGGGGAGCTGACCTTACCAATCTCGAAACAGATTCCTGGCGGGCAGCTAGGAGCATAACTACATATTTATTCATATGTACTGAGTTTTACCAATATGATCATTCCACTGATAGTTTTTTTTTTTTTTTTATGAAACTAAGGATTTTTCCACTGAAAATTATTCAACTAATGATTCTTATCACAAAAAGTCATTAACTTTCTTTTATAACTTCAAAGTTACTAGACTATGATTATTTCACCCTCAAAGTCACTCAACTATTGATATTTTACTTAGAAAGTCTCCCACCAATTTAAATAATTTATTAATTAAATTTTGTTGAAACACAATTTAATTTTAAATTACTTTTATTAAAAAATAATTAGATGCTCATTTTTAATTATTTTATTAAAATTTATTGAAACACATTTTTGTTTAAAACTGATTTCTTAAAAAATAATACGATACTCATTTTAATTATTTTATTAAAATATAATCTTATTACGTATTTTCTTCATTGACTTCAATAGCGTAGATCTTGAAGAGAATGCTCCTGACAGGACTCATCTGGGACAAACGAGAGGGACGGAGAACACAATTGAACAAGCACCTCCACCAAAGAGGTCACTAATGCATGTTCAGTTAAGGTTGCAGGTTTATTTAAAAATAAATACTTTTAAATTTGTTGAAATATAATCTTTTTTATATGTAAGCATCTTATTATTTTTTTTAAAAACAGTTTAAAACAAAAATTGTGTTCCAACAAAATTTATAAAATAATTAAATGAACATTTAATTATTTATTCAAAAAATTACTTTAAAACAAAAATTGATTTCAATAAAATTTAATGAAAAAACTACTTAACTTGATAGAGTGATTTTTTAAGTGAAATATTAACAATTGATTAATTTTATAAGGTAAAATATTTATAGTTGAGAGACAAAGTTGAGCAACTTACTACGGAAAAAATACTCAATTGAGTAATGAGAAAAATTCTCAACCACATTGACTTTATGTGAGAAGAGAACTATTAGGAACTATTTTTGTTAGAACGATTTCAAGCCAAAATGGCGAACAAAATGGCCATACCACGACCACTATTATTCAAGTGGGAATGCTCCTCATGTTTATAATGAACCAATTTAATATATAAATCTCTGTTCTATTTAAATAAATAATAATAAAATAAAAAATCTCCACGAGGCATGATGCCCTATTAACTTTTACTGATATCACTTTTATTTATGATTTGTATTTCCTTCTCCAGCCCCTCGACAAAACACACAGGATGCTGCACAAAAAACTCAATTTCCAGTTGAAGTGATTTTAAATTTGCAACGATTGAAGAGAAATATGTATTGCTCGTGCAAACAATTTTTTTGTTCTTTCCAAAGGATTCCCTCATCATTTTTCTACCTAAAGTAAAAAAAAAAAGGTTAAATTTTTTCTCTTTAACAAAGTCCCAGTAGGTTAACAACTATTTTGACAATGATTTAGCTATTGGAAAACAGAAACTGAACAATCGACATCAACTATGCTGCAAAATACCTAAATTGTCTGGCATGGCATATGGAAGATTCTTCTTGATCTGGATGGGTCATTTAGGTAGCAGACGAATTTACATATCCCTCGTGTAGCTGAACATGAAATGAGAATCCATGGATCATCTGCCAGCACTCTCGCAAGGAATGTAAAAGTCATGCAACTTACATTATTTTCTCTGATGTGATTATTCCTCTGGCTCTTAAAGTGCTAAGCTTCCAAACTGTTTGTTCCAGTCCTCGTATGCACCAAGTTCATTCAAAGACACAGAAGGCCTTACCTCTTGTAATGCACTCTCAAAGTCCTGTGCAAAACAACATATTGAAAATGCTGTGATGAGAAAATTACGGACTAGTATGCAACTGAGTTAGTTCTTTCTTTTGTTTCCATAACAGCATCTAACTTTTGCTGTTTTTGCATGCCTGCAAATTACCTGAAGAGTTACTGGCCTCATATCCTCCTTCTTTAGCTTTGTAATTTCAACACCGTGCCTTAGAGCTTCCCTCAATGGACCCATGGAAGCATCCTTCACTAAATTCTTCATGTCAGACCCAGAATACCCTGAAAATTTAAGCAAAACATGATAAATAAGAAATTCACAAATAAAAGGAAGAAAGAAAAATAGGAACGATGGACAAAACTATGGCCTCATCAGATGGGTCTTAATGTTTTTGAATGTTAGCAACATGAGTTGCGAATACCTTCCGTAAATTTGCAAATGGAGACAATATCGTCATCTGAAAGCTTAAACAAACCATCCTTCTCCAATAGACTCTTGGCAATCCAAGCTCGTGCTTCTGTATTCCAAGATATATGGTCAACAATACTGGTCACAGTATTCCATTCCTGATTTTTTAAAATGAGGCTCTAGCTTGCACCTGAGGAAGGAAGTGGAACATAAAGTCTTTTAGTAAGCCGTCTCCTTGCAGCCTCATCAAGCTCTTGGGGCCTGTTTGTTGCACCTGTTTCCATGAATAATACCATCAAATTTTCTTCTGCTAGTAACTAAATTAAATATTTTTCTGTAGTAAAAAGGAAACTGGCAGATTTAAATTTCTCATTTGATTGCCCAGTATACAAACTACACCTCATGGATTCATCCACAACGCACACCTCTTGGGAAAACAAAGAAACTTTTGACTAGCATAGGTTTGTGATTGGACTGTTACGTGGTTTTTAAATGGGAATCTGCTTCTCTTAACATGCTGAAGTGTAGAGGGATTTAGAAATCACCTATAAGAAGAATCTGTTCGCTCACATTGTCAAAGCCTTCCATCTCAATCAGAAATTGTGTCTTCAGGCGCCTACTAGATTCATGTTCACCTTCTGACTTGCGCTGCAACCATGTAAAGTCTTTTAGAAATCCCTACTTGGCAATCAGCTTATGGAGAAGTAAAGTCCAGCCAAAAACTAAAAATAGTATACATGTATGATTGATGTTTACCTTCTAACTTGTACTGCAGCCTTATCAAGTTTTCAACCACAATGTCAGTCAAAAAATTCACAAGTAGAGAACACTGAATTCTCTACTATAAGTCATTTCTTTTTATGTTTTGGGTCGCCCTTTTGTTTCTTTTTCCCCCAATGATTCTAAACTATTTTTTCGAAAATGCCAAAAGTCCCGGATTAGTAGGGAGTCAAAAGTAGGTATAATACCAATTTCAACATCTGCTAGCTGATGAGTTGACAAGAGAAATAAATTCCTCATCACTACATGTTTTTTTTTCCTCATCACTACATGACTCAGACACAATTCTGATTAAATCCAACATTTCCATTTGTTAGAAAAGGAAGGAAGGAAGCAATTTGCAAGATATGATCTTTTTCAAATATTGCATCCCATTCAGTATGCAGAAATTATGCACTAAGGAAAAGATTTCTCTTTACACTGAAGTGTCAGAGAGTTACATACCTGAGACAACAGAGAATCTATTTCATCAACGAAAATAACAGCTGGCTGACGACAACTGGCCACTCCAAAAAGTGCCCTCACCAGCTTCTCCCCCTCTCCAATCTACAATCATGAACTCAAAATCATTTGCCAAGATAGTTCCATCCACCTTTAAATATATATCTAGAACAAGATAGCTGTAACGCAAGTCTCATGCACTAGATTATAGTAATCCTTACATTTCCTTGTCATTTCTTATCAAATTCCCAGGTATGAATTACATGAAATTTTACAGCTAGACCAGTTAAGACTCCAAATGACTTGGGAGATCTCCAGTTTATTGTTTATTCACTGGGTATTTCATATCATAAACCTAGTGGCTCACTATAAAATTGTACGCAAGGTAAAATGTTTATGCTGCCTACAAAGAGATTATTGTTCCTGTAAGATTTGAGATACAATAGATGAATTCGTAGCTTAAAAACAGTGGCGTCCCCATTAACTTATTTATCGTGATGCATATAATAGTTAAATATCTTGCAGGAGGTTGGGGGTTTCATCCTCCTTTTCTTTCGAGAAAAGGGATCAGGTACATTTCAGTTTTCATAGAATAATATACATATACAAACATACAACATACCCACTTGCTTGTCAAAGAGCTGGCAGATATGTAAAAGAAGGTTGCTTTTGCCTCGCCAGCAATAGCTTTCCCTATCATTGTTTTGCCAGTTCCCTAAAGCATGAGAGATTTATAAGTTCAAAGAAAACTGCTTTCTTCTAAACCTGTCTTGACCTGGTGGACTAAGAACTTACTGGTGGACCAAACAGAAGAAGACCTCGACCTGGAGATCGGCAGCCTTTGAATATGTCTGGACGTAATAATGGCCAGATGACCATCTCAGTCACACATTTTTTAGCATGTTCCAGGCCAGCAATGTCATTCCAACGCACATTGGGATCCCGGTGCATAATCTCATTGCTGATATGCTCAATAAGTCGAGGCTCTATATTCCTCAATTTCTCAGGAAGTTCACCATCAGGACCAACTAACATTTCCAAACTGAATGGTATATAATATGAAGAATTAGGACAAGCATTTCGCATTATGAAACACCTTTTAGATCATCTTGTGATCATCTTTGTAAAATGGACTAAGCTAATATAACTTGAATTAAATAGCACAGTTAGCTCAAAGTAGATCTCTACTGATACAAAACAAGCAAAAAGTCAACTAACCATCTCCTTGTTGAATCATCAAGTGTATCTTCTCCTTTCCTAGAAGTGCGTGAAGTAACATTGCCTACATTATTGCCACTACTACCTCTGATAGGAGGAACAAAATTGCCCCGTATGCCACGGCGTGGAAAACCATAGGACCTGACTCCACAGCCTTTGTTCATCAAGGTGTTATCGTTTTGTGGGGAGATTGAAGCACTTGGTGATCTACTCAACCCTCGCTTATGTCTTGCGTCCATTTCCTACAGCATGAAATGATCAGAATGGACACACATAAAACAAAACAAAATAAGCTAAACAAAAGATTTACAAATCTGAGAAGTTTCAAGAACGGCAGTCCTTAATAAACAAAGCAAATTGATACTACAGCTCAGAGTTGTTGCTCAATTTAAAAAACACATTTATCAGATTATATAATTGCTTTCTTGAAAATCAATCAGTCTCTTTTTAAATAACCAGTGCTTCTGTATGGATGCTAAAAGGTATGACATCATTCACCCATGCCAGCTATATGTTTACAGCAATAAATACACTTGCTAACAGTGATGACGTTCATGTTAGGAATCATGGCTGCATGCACATTACATTGCCATTTACACTAGCAATAGGCTGGAAATAATGCCCTGATTGAAAAACATTTTAACTTGCAATGGTGTAGCATTCCCTTGGGTTTAAGGAGTTGATCAACTGTCTTCTTCTATCGAAATCTAAGTCCATAAAATTCTCTCCTGTTACACCAACTGTCTTAGTCGATATTAAAATATACTCTTCTTCCTCTTAATCTAAAATTTGACCTTATATAGCATACAAAGTTTCTGCTAAATAGGAAAAGCTTTTATCGCATTGCATTTAATCATTCCCTCCTCGGGGAAGGGTCCACCTGAGTACTTATGGGTTTTAAATTAGGGAATCAAGAACCGTGAACCAGACCTTTATGTTTGTTGATCGGACTTTCACATAACATTTTGGATTAAGAATAGGGGGAAAAGAATCAATAATGTGAACAAAAGTAAGTTGGTTGTCAGCCAAGGAATTCTTCTCTGTGCATTTAAGCAAACAAGTCAGACAGTCTTAATTAGACAAAATAAAAGCCTAAAACATATTGTTTCAGAAAGTTGTAGGTTTGTAGCTATGATAACTTAGGTAACTCAACATTCAAGAAGCTTCCATGAAAATTGAAAGAGGTACCAGTTTTGCTCTAGCAGTGACAAATCCATTTGGAGAAGCATCAACATCAGCTTCTTCAGTGCACAAGGGGGATGAGATGTTTTCATCTCTAGAGCCACTGCTTTCCCTGTACAACCGTCTTGTTTTGGAACCATTGACACAAGTTCTTTCTTCCTCTCCATCTTTAATGTCCACATGCTTTGAGTGAAACCTATCAACAGGAAGAACCTCTGGGCTACTATCATTTGCAAAGCTTCTATTTTTTATCAAGGAGAAATCTCTTGGACTAGTGTGTGCAGGTGTTTTCAAGGTTCGGCTACCCACATTGGCATGTCTGTTTAATTGATTTCCCTGCAAGATAATACACTTCAAATGACTTCACGTATTCTCAAAACGATCACTCTTTATTCACAAACAATGGAAAGTAGCTTGAATTAAGTTTTTATAGATATAGCGAATTCAAAAGAAAGGGAAAACCAAAGAAAAAACAACAAGCATGTAAATAGGATTCTCAGTGCTGGTGATAGAAAAGAAAAAAGGAAATAAGCAAATTCTTAGTCCACACACCTGTTCACCTTTAGCTGTGTCTTCATGTTGCTGACAAAGAGAAAGAAAGTACTTAGACTGCTTAATCTTCTCAATGTCAATATTTTTTCCTTGGGCAAATATGCAGCCTGGATCTCTCCCTGCTTGTTCAAAGGCATGGCTGAAGATATATAGCAAAGATCAGCAACTTCAACATGTAAGAACATATTGGTTCATTGAATTATTTATATTGCTAATATGAGTGACTCGTGAAATGATGAACAAAATGATTCTTACAGGTTCAAAATTGTAAACAAAAAAAAGAAGGAAATACTTGTACTATTCTGTTTGTCTTCGAGCTGTGAGAAAAGAATGAATGATGCAATTGAAGTAATGTATCCTTCTCAGAGGAATAATACTTCACGGAAGAAAAATCATAATATACCTCAATTGACTCTTTATATAGAATGAACCAATTTACTGTTGGGTCGTTTGACCAATGATAGCTTTTAAAATGAAAGCGAATAAAGAAAAAAAAGGATCACATTATTCTTCATGTTTTCTCCTCAATTTTGCTAAACCATGCTGATATTTTACAAAAAAAATTGCAGGTCTTAACAAAAAAAAATATTAAAAGGAAAAATAGAATCACATCATTCTTCATGTTTTCACATCAATTTTACTAAACCATGCTGATATTTCAAAAGTTTTTCCAAGGCAAGCAGAAAATTCGATTAAAAAGAAAAATAGAATCACATCATTCTTCATGTTTTTGCCTCATTTTACTAAACCATGTTGATATTTCAAAAGTTTTTGCTAGGCTAACAGACATAGATTAACAGGTAAAATAGGTCACATCATTCTTCATGTTTTCTCCTCAATTTTACTAAACCGCGCCGATATTTCAAAACTGTTTACAAGGCTAACAGAAAATTCGATTAAAGTTAGCTCAAAAGAAACAGATAAGGCTGAAGCATCTTTTCTGAAATCTCTGAAATGACACACACTCATGAGGTGAGAACTAAATTGCATCAAAATGCCTTTTGAGAAATCAAAATAGAGCAAAATAATATTTAAAGTCAGAAATTAACCTCCAAATCCACGCTCATTCAGTCTATATTCTCAAAGTAGCTTAGAATGAAGGAAAAAAACTAGTCTATACCATACATATACTACAGTCCGTCCAAACGATTGTCGGAGATACGAAATTCAGAGCATCTAGTTTATGGTTAGAATTCAGACATCAATTACTGAACATCTATTTACTAGCATTTAAAGAAATTACAAAAATATAAACCATTAAATAGAAACGAAGTGTACCGATCGGATTCAGTTATGAGGGAGCTTCGAGCAGAATCAAAATTTGACAGAGCTTCACGACGAATAGGACGAATGAAGGCCTCGTCGACGTCTGAATGAGAATGGGAATCGAGGAAGCCGATAAGTCCTAGTCCAAGTACTGTTGCAGAACTGAAATCCTTACTTTTGAGAGCTACGTCTGCTCCAAATAGCATAGAATGGAGCCTCTTGAGATTCGTGTCGACTTCTTTCCTCCATGATACCTCCGATTTTTCGTCCTCCATTTTCTCCGATTTCGAATTTGGTGCCGTATTTTTGCTACTGTCCTCCTTTCCCGCCATTTTCCCTCCTCATGAATTATTGCCAGGTACATGTGTAATTTATAAAGATATTTTTAATTGCTGAGACGTCCCTGATGTTTCTCTACATAATACACAAGCCTCTTATCTTCTGGGAATTTTAAAAGAAGTCCTACTCTGTTGTATTTTGTCTCTTTCATTTAACATAACTTTTAATTTTATTTATAATAAATTGCTATAACTATATCTTAGGTAGGCTATAGTTTGATTTGGTTTTAAATTTTGATAATTGATATTATTTGATTTGTTTTTGGTTTTACTAAAAAATAATCGGAAAAATAATCAAATCGAATCGATAAATTAGATATATAAATTTTATAATTATTTATATATTATTCATAAATAAAATATAAATATTTTGTTAAATTTTGACTAACCTAAATATTTTACTTTACAATTATCTCAAGTTCAACACTTAAATTTTAGCCTAACTATTGCAATTCTAAGTGTAAGTCCATCAAAATTCATTACTCCCTCTGTCCCATTTTATGTGGCACTTTTCGAATTTTGGTTTTAACTAACAACTGATCTAAACTGAACCATGAACCCCCCTAATTATTACCATTAGTCGATACTCTCTCCGAACACTTTTACTTGTTTGTTATTTTAAAATATATTTTCATTTTGTCATTTTTGACATATCAAGAAAACACAATTGTTTTTTTCATGTTTTACTTTCAACATTAAATACTTAGTTTCCAATCAATTTTCAAGGCCTAATATTGCTAAACATCATTTAATATGGATAATTTGGTAAAATACCTATATCAATGATTGTTTTTTTAATGAGTATATCAAGTCAAACAGTGACAAATAAAAATGAACAGAGAAAATATTAAATATCTCTAATTGACATCATCATTTATCATCGTCGTTAGCTATTAATATAATTCCACTACTAATCATTCCTCATCGCCATTACCAACCAGGTTAACCCTTATTGTCAAGTGTCAACTAGTATACCATAAAATACAATCCATAACTACTATCACCGGTCAAACACCATCACAAATTAAAACACACAATCACCATTACTATCAATTGTCATATAAATCACTAAAAATCATTTATTCATATAGTACCAGATAAAATTAGTATTTTATTTAAATTTTATATTTAGCATTTTTTAAACATAAACAAATATTTTGTCATAATTTAAAATTAAAAAAAAGATAGTAAAAAATAAACTTCAATTATATACTAAAATATTTGCTGGAAGGATATGCCATAATGGAACAAGGGATATTATTCATACTTACTTGAAGTAAATTTGATTTTAATCTAAATAATATTAGGATATTCTTAAATAATTAGATTTTCATTACGGTAAGTTTATGAGGTAAATGTGATTTCACTGTGTTGTCCCTCCAAATTATTTCTCTCCATTTTTTCTTTCTTCTTTTTGGCCTAAATCACCCCACCTCTTTTTTCCTATTCAGAGAATTAAATCCCAATCTCAAAATTTCAGATCTCTTCTTGGCTCTTCACGGCTATCAGGTAGCTTTCTTCTACTACTTTTCCCTTTGGATGATTTACGTCTAGCTTTCTACAATAGCGTCTTCTGGTTTTGTTGTTGTTACATGCTATGGATCGATTATGATCTGTTTGCTTTCAAATGCATCTGTTCGACATTATTACTACCGAGACTTCTGTTTCTCTTCGCCATTTTTTCTTTTAATGTTTAAAGGGTTTGTTTTCTTATGTTAAACGGGTTATTCTTGTTTGGATTAAAGACAGTGCTTTGAAATGTCCAATTTTCAAGATAGGTATTATAGGGAGAAGTCCTTACCATAAGTAAAGTAATTGAAGTGACAAACAACAAAGACAAGTAACTCATATGATTTAATCACTCCTATCCACGACCCTACAAGGCTTCGTTTGAATATCTTAGGATCAAACTAATTCCAGAAAGCTTAAGTATAAAGACAATGACAGTAAATACAGAAGTACAATGGTGAAGTTTGGTTGTCTTGTGAGAGTGCGTAGTTCTTAAAGTAATATCCCTTGTTCTGTTGTTTGTTTGAGGTCTTCTATTTATAGGGCCGAGGTCTCTTGGAGTCCAAGACCAATTGGAATCTCCGTTGAGAAGAAGTGGGTTGCTAATTGACAATTGCCATGCAGATACGCATCCCAACTAATGCGGGGTGGTTGAGGAGTCCGCGAGACTCTGTCCCCATGACTCAATCAGTGGATTAAATGAGCGTTACCATGGGATGGACGGGTGGAAGTCTACGTCATGGAAGGTCATTCACGCCCACACTCAGATTATAGGAGGTCTGACAATGGTTGTGTGGTCATTAACAACAACAACAGACTTAGTGAGATCCCACAAATGGGGTTTGGGGAGGGTGGGTTTACGCAGACCTTACCCCTACCTTTGTGGGGTAGAGAGATTGTTTTTGAAAAACCTTCGGCTCAAAAAAGTAATTTTCGAAATAGGTTCGAGAAATACAAGAGTGAAAAAGATGTGATGAAAATAACTAATTGAAGAAAAGTAACGACACCAAATGAAAGATAGCCAAAGTAAAAGAAACAACAATAGTAGTAAAAATTGGACAATGAGATAACAGAAGAGTAGTAATGATAGTACGATAAGGAGAAGAGGAATCAAATAAGGTGTTCTAAACTAGATTCATGCTCTCTCCCAGAAGAGAGGGAATTCTCTCTCTTGCTTACTAATCTTCTGCCTTAAACCTCGACTTCCATGCTTGCCTATTTAGGGTCATGTCCTCGGTGAGCTGAAGATGTGTCATGCCCTGTTTAATCACCCCTCCTCAGTTCAATCGTTCACACGCTCATATTAGGTTGCTCTTACTAGGAGTTGGTCGTTTGGAGACGATATGTATAAGGAGTCAGAGACATGTTGAACCTCGGATGGAAAAGTGTTGTCCTGGGCGGTGAGTGGTGCACATGCTATTTTTTCCCACTACTGGTACTTTCTTAATGCACTGTATAATTCCTCCATGATCTGCCATTCCTAGTGAAACTGGGGCAAAGAGTCTCAAGGTTATTGGCCTCAATCAGTTACTAACCGTGAGCTTTAGTTTTTTCTAGAATGTTATATCTTGAGGAGTTGGCTAAGATACTGGTGCAATTACTAAGAATATTTTTTTTTTCTTCTTTTAATGTAGCTTCACTTCTTTCCCCTAGAGAAACTGTAACTACCCCTCTGACCCCTTTGGTGCTGAACTTTTGTTTATAAACAAGTTGTTACCTATTAAAAAAATAAAAAAAATTCTTTCCCTTAGCTGAAAAACTGCTTCTGTTCTCACAAACGTTTTTCCTTTATTGACGAACACTTCAGATTTCCAAAAGAAAGTGTGTTTGACTTCCCAAACGCTTGGCCAAAAAAAATGAATATTGATAGGGTCTTAGTGCTGTATATTTAATCAATAAAATAATTTAGATATGCGATCTTGAATTTGTTAGACTTTTTAGTTGGTTTGCATATGCTTCTCTAATGAATGTTCAATGATTTTGGTGACTTTGTAAAACATTACTTGTTGGATCACCGAATTAGTAACTCCTCGACATCTCCCTCTCCATGACTAATTCAACTTTAATCATAAAATGTGTACTAGTTTTTGTCTCAAATCAGTAGTATTAACCCCATAAGATTAATAAAAAGTATAACACCTAAGATATTTTCGTCACATAGCAGCAAATAACCAAATAATCTCTTGCTGCGAAGTTCCATATTCAAATTGCTATACATTTGTAATTTAAAGTATAACCATTCATTCTGAACTCGCTTAGTTATTTTGGATAAGTTGAATGTAACTTATCCAGTACTTGTTGGATCACTGAATTAGCAACTCCTCGACATCTCCCTCTCCATAACTAATGCAACTTTGATCATAAAATGTGTACTAGTTTTCTACTTAAATCAGTAATATTTAACCCCATAAGATTAATAAAAAGTATTTTACACCTAAGATATTTTTGTTACATAGCAGCAAATAACCAATAATCTCTCTGCGAAAAGTTCCATATTCAAATCGCTATACGTTTTCAATTGAAAATATATTAACTATTCATTCTGAACTCGCCTAGTTATTATGGATAAGTTGAATGCCATATATTATACATACCCATTTTAGTACAAGCCCGTGTTTACATATAACAATAATAATAACAACAAAAAATACCCTGACTTGGTTAACTGTATTCCAGGGTGTTTTTGACAAAATCACCTTTTGTTCCTTAAAAAAAAAATGGTCTTGTTGACAAAATCACCTGTGTACCATTCAATGTATTTGTGCTGTATGTAGTAAAGCTTGTGCCCTTTCCTGGCGATAAAGAAGTCGGAACACAGTGATTAAACTCTGAAACCCTTTTTTTTCCTTGAAACAGGTAACTTTGTATATTACTACAACAGTACATAGTCAGTACTTGAGCCATATTTACAATAAGATCATTAAACTCTGAAGACCTTCTAGATCATTTCCAGAACATCATCACGAAGCGGGTTTCAGAGAAACTTCTTTTTTTTTGTGGTTCTATTCTGAATATAGAAATGTTTGATCTGGCTTACTCTTAGATAGCTGTACAGTGTAGATCAGTAGAAAGTTGTTGGTTTGCTCAAGTTGCTATGGTGGAGGTGGCTGGCAACACATCGGTAAACAGTTGTTTCTCTCGTTTTCCAGAAGTTTCCTGCTTTAGTATGTGCACATTTTCATATCCTTGTGTTGCCTTACATCTGTGAATTTCGGCCAATGCTAATAATGGGCAGAAACCCTTCTTGGATTTGGGATCCTTCGTTGGCGATTTGAATGTTGATGATGAAACTACCAGGTTTAGTTTCATTTCGTGGACTAGATTTGCTAATTTTGCTATAATGCTTGTAAGTTTTCATTCTCGACCCTCTATATAAGATGAAATTTAGGACATTCATCTTCTTTCTTTCCAGTGATGATATATCCCTTGAGGGACTCGAGGAAGAGTTACAGGAATGTCAAGCTGATGATGTAAGAAGATTATACA